GTAACGCAAAATCTAGTACATCGGGGGCATAGTCGGTGTTATCGGGAAAGTGAGTAACACCGAGAGGACTGTGGACGGTAATATCAAGAGACTGCGTGATATCGAGCAGTAACTTGCCACTACGGGTGGTAGTACGGCATGTCCATTCAGTATGCTTGGAGTTAAAATCTCCAAACATAATGACTGAATTGCCTAGAGATAAAATAGCCTCAAAATCTTTTTTGAGGGGAAGGGTTTTAGAAGGGATGTAATAGGAGGCTATGAAGATGGACTGATGTCCAGTCATAGCTAGCCTGCATACCGTAGCTTCCATGTTGGAAAGTTGCGGAGTAGAAATGGGAGAACAGTGGAGTGTCTTCTTGTAATAAATGGCCGTACCGCCGCCTCGGCGGTCGGGTCTATCATTACGAAGAAGAGAGAAGTTTTTGATGGAACGGCCTTTAGTGTCCTTAGTATTGAGATTAGTTTCCTGTAGGAGGAGGAAATCGGTTTCACGATTTTGAAGAAAGAGCTTAAGCTCTGGGAGGTTATTTCGCAAACCGCGAATGTTAAAGGATACAAGCGATAAACCCTTAGGTTTGATACGACCGTGGGATTTTGGTAGAGCAAACTGCTCTGTCATTGTGAGTTAAGTTAATTAAGTTAACTTAACTTACAATGAGCACAAAAGATTATGATGCTCTGCAAGAGCGAGGAGACGGTCCTGAGGGGACCTCGCAGCGCGCAATTTGCGTGCTAACACAGCGATTTCCTCAACGTTGATGTTCCTAATTGCGGAATACACCGTTTTTAGGTCATCAGCCATTGAGGGCTGTGATTGTTGTGGTTGAGGGGCGGAGGATGTCCGCGGTGGTACTGCCTTTTTGGGGCCCCAGGGAAAAACTGGAGGCTGCATAGGCTGAGAGAAGCCCGGAGGGGGCCGAATAGTGCCCTGAGGGGGCCTAGGAGGACCCTGAGAGGGTCGAGAGAAGCCCTGGGTGGGCTGAGAAAGGCCCTGACGGGGCATCCGTTGGTAAAGAGCCGGGAATGAGCGGTCATTGACCGGCGGTGGAGCTTGCCTACTGGGGCGAGGATGAGGTGCGCAAGGGCAGCCTCTGTAGTTAGCCGGGTGGCCCGTTTGTTTACACAGGACACACGCGGGTGGGGATTCGGCGTCTTTGGGCCGAGGACACTCTTTAGTGTTGTGGGGTTCAAGGCACTTAACGCACCTGGGTGGGGCGGAGCAGTTGGCCGCCGCATGACCATACAGCTGGCAGCGGTGGCACTGCGCCGGGAACCCGCGCCTATGTGGAGGCTCAACCCTCACTCTCGACAGGCCGCACACTGTGCGTACCTGCCGGAAGATGGCTTTCGCCTCCGGCACGTTGGTTAAAATTACTAGGGCAAGAGAGAACCTCTGGCCTGTTCTACTGTGCATTTTGTGCACGGCTTCTACGGGGAAACCTTGGGACTTAAGGTCCTCAAGGATTTCTTCGTTTGAAAATTCGAAGGGGACGCCGCGGATGACGGCCCTGACTTTGCGCTCTTCCGGAAGAGCGTATGTATGATAAGAAACTCGTTCGGCTGTGAATAGCCTGGTGAGTCGCCGGAAGTCGTCGATTGATTGGGGGATGATCTTAATAGCCTCCCCGAGGTTGATAGCGTGGTCATATTTTATGCCTGCGTTGTAGCAGGTTTTGGAGAGTTCTGTGAATTTAGCCTTGTCTCTTAGGAAGACAGGGGGCGGGACTTGCTTCTTGGCAAGGACTGGAGCACAGCGAGAGGCTGGCTTGGTCGGAGCGGGAATGTCTAGTGACATAAGTGGGGCTGAGGCAGCGGCGGGGGCTGCGGGGGCAGAGGCGGCAGCGGGAGCTGCGGAGGTTGAAGGAGCGGCAGGGGCCGCTGAGACAGGGAGGGTGCGGTTTTTAGCGGCGCGTTTACCGTTGCGCTTGGAGTTCACCGTGGTGAACGAAGAATCCCCGGTTCCGTCGGAGTCACAGGACTCCGATGAGCCGGTGCCAGAATTGGTGGCGGGCCTCTTCCGGGATGCCGATGCAGAGGACTCGGAGCATGCGTACTCCATTTCTAATGGGGCGAAAGAGTTCTTTGTCTCTAGGTAGGCCGCAAGTACGGGCGGCGGTTGGAGTGCCTGACGGGCAGGGGGAGTAACATGGGCGGCGATGGCGGCAAGGGCCGTCTCATCGAGGTTTAGGCCCAGACCAAGAGTTTGGTTTAGGGCGGCGACGAGGGACTTAATTTGGGTAATTGTGGACATGTTGAGGGCAGTAGTTTTACGAAACGTATTTGATACGGAAGGGGCTAGTGGGTGCTGTTCTGAAAAGAACAGAGACGTTATGTACCTAAACAGTAAGGGCGGGATCACCGTTCTGAGAAGAACGGGACGTTCTTAATTCTAGGAGTAAGTGCCCCTGCTCTCAAAAGAGCAGGGCCTTGCTCTGAAAAGAGCAAGTAACTCCCTAGAAACAGTATATACACGTACACGTTATACAAATAAATAACGAAAACAAAATTAGAAATAGTTAACAAAAGAATTAACAATAACAAGCAAGACCAACAGTCAAACCGCCCCGTCCAGAGACAGGGAGGTAATAACTGGAGTTAGCGTAAAATGACTCACCAAGGCGTCGACGCTGTAAGCGCGAGCAGGACAGCGGAGGCGCGAGAGCGAGAGAGCACTACCGTACGGGGACGGATGCGCGGACTACCTGGACACGACCGCTCGAGAGCGGTGCCACAGGCGGAATCCTAATAACATTTGTAGCGTATAAACATTTATAGTGGTGTATAAGTCTGTCGTCTCGAGAAGCGCACGCGCGGGATCGCGGGGCGGGGCGGCACTGCCCGACCGACCGCCGCAGGGAGAAGACGTGGACGCTTAGTACGAGCCGATATCAGTGTATAATAATAGTGTTACTTGTAATATATACTACTTACAATAGTGTTACTTGTTCTTTCTAAATATTGATCCCTGGGATCTACAGTACATTACATGTGGCGACGAGATAAACGGTGAGTATTTTAAGAATTTTTACCTTTAATAATAAAAGAAAAGAGAGATAAACATACGTTACATTACAAAATACATAAATCCGACTACAATCGTTGAATAAAACTACCAAGCTTTAATCAAGTGATTATTATGTGAGCAACCTATAAGTTACCTACCTTCTTGAGTTTGAGTCTCAGTATTTATAACCCATATAGCTGTACAAGATTTTATTAGGTAAAATTAACCACAGAACCTCACTAGTTTCGTTAATCAGTGTAGGTAGGTAATAGTTACTATAAGTATTGCTGTTTACTATAGGTTCGTTCGAAGTCACAGCAATTTTGCTGAGCAACGACCTGTTCCTACGCAGATGGGACGGCTTTATTGTCATTATAATTAGGAGATTGGAAAAATAATACAGTGGTTATTTAAACTACCTATATGCGGCGTTTTGTAGTTTTAGATTGTTAATAACTTAATTGTTGCTTTGATAATAGATAATACAAGTTTTCATGCTATTGAAAACACAGACTACAGAATATAAATAGTACAGATTGTACTTGAGGTGTCTGTCTGTGTTGAATACGACAAGTAATTAGAGTAATTCTAATTTTAATCTTTACAGTGTGTTTTGTTGCACAGAATAAACATTTTTCTTTTACCTTTCAATATTCTGAAGTTTATGAATTGATCCACAGTATTAATTAGTTACTTTCCTATAAAATAAAAGTGTATTTAAGGTTATCATCGTTATTACTAACTGATGTTGACTGTATATAACATTTTGACTAAGGAACATAGAAGGAAAAGTGAAATAACTAGGTACTCACTTGGCCGTGAGTTGCGTAGGTATCCTCCGTTCGCGTTTTAGGTATCTAGGTTTCTATGGGTGTACATCAGGGGAGTGACATATCTACATATTTGTCAACCTATCTTCCTCATTAAATTGCAGCCGGGCATTCAATTGCGACTGAGCATTTAATTGCGGTATGAGATGGATAGTAAAAGCATTAAATTGCGGAGATTACCGGTATAGCATTAAATTGCGTACATACCTACATAGCATTAAATTGCGTACATACTTATATAGCATTAAATTGCGTACATACCTACATAGCATTAAATTGCGTACATACCTACATAGCATTAAATTGCGGTTCAAATTATATGTTAACACTTGGAGCACCTATTCGCTGCTTGGCGGCTGCGCGTTGGGTAATACTCACGTGCCAGTGCCACAGTACAGCACAGTATGGCGAGTAAGTGTCGTCATGAGCGCTGAATGTGTACTACGGGTGTAGATACGGGTAACTATAGCATAGGTACAGTCAAGTACAGTAGACGCTTTAGTACTAGCATTAGATTGCAATAGCGTGTTATAAAATCTATAATATCCAACATTGTTACTACCTTGTCAACAGGTAGCCCCAAATGGCACTGTACACCTTAGAGAAGTTCGAATGTGACGGGGAGGTTGGTTCAGTCTCTGTCCATTGGGAAAGATGGAAAAGAAGTCTAAACATTTACCTCGAAGCAGCAGGCATAGACTCCGAGGCAAAGAAAAGAGCTAGCCTTATACATTTTGGTGGTCCCGAGTTACAGGAAGTTTTCTATAACATCCCAGGAGCTAATGCAACTGAAGGCGAACTTTTTAACATCGCGATCAAAAAATTAGACAACTACTTTGCACCTAAACAGAGTAAAGTGTATGAGCGACACCTGTTTCGTCTCATAAAACAGGAACAGGATGAAAAGTTCGAGAAATTTCTTATCAGACTTCGACTGCAGGCAAAGAAATGTCAGTTTGGTGGAAAAGAAGACGAACATATCATAGACCAAATAACGGAAAAGGGTAAAGCAGAAGAACTCCGAAAGAAGATATTAAAAACAGGAGATAAGATCACTTTAGATGAAATAATTGCGGAAGCGAATGCATTGGAATCCATAGATCGTCAATTAGGACACTTTAGTACGAAACCTGTAGAAAGTCAGGCAATTAACAGAATAGGTAATGAGACATGGAAGGAGAAGCAAAAAAAAAAGAAGATTGGAATGTAGTAGATGTGGAAGTTGCAGACATTTGGCCCGTGACAACAACTGCCCAGCAAAAGGAAAGGCTTGCCTTAAATGTGGCATCTTAGGACACTTCAGAGATCAATGCAGGACAAGACAAACTCAGAAGAGGAAATTTGAAGGAGGGGAATCATCGAACAGTCAGGGAATAAAGAAGAAAAGCAGGACAACAAACAATATCGAGGAAACTGCAAACATAATCACGGATGAAAGAAAAGTCGACTACATTTTCAATATAGAGAACGACGCAAAGGTCACATGTAACATAGGTGGAACCAACGTGGAGATGTTGATAGATTCAGGCTGCAAGCACAACCTTATAACAGACCAAACCTGGGAAAGAATGAAGAAAAATAACGCTCAAGTTACCAATCAAGATTCGAATACTGACAAAACGTTCATAGCTTACGGGAGTGCAACACCGCTGAAGCTGTTAGGATCATTTAAAGCCACGATAAAACTTGCCGGAATATCACAGGACGTCACAACATTCTACGTGATCAGAAACGGTACGCGTGACCTACTTGGACGTGTGACGGCAACCTCATTGGGAGTACTTCGGATCAATTTGGATATCAACCAGGTCGGAACTGAGGCGTTTCCAAAATTTAAAGGCGTTTTAGTTACCATTCCGATTGACGATTCAGTGAAGCCCCTTGCTCAGCCGTATCGGAGAATTACCATCCCACTTGAAAAAAAAGTAGAGAATAAACTGAAAGAATTACTAGAAAGGGACATTATAGAAGTCGTGAAAGGTCCTTCTAACTGGATTTCGCCTATGGTCCCTGTGCTAAAAAACGGGGGTGACATCCGATTATGTGTGGATATGCGCCGAGCAAATACGGCCATACAACGTGAAAACCACCCACTGCCAACGATAGAAGAACTGTTGCCTAAAGTTCGAGAAGCCAAAATCTTTAGTAAGCTAGACATACGAGATGCTTTCCATCATATCGAACTTCACACAGACTCAAGGCATATCACGACCTTCATTACCAGCAAAGGATTGTATCGATACAAAAGAATGATGTTTGGTATCTCGTGTGCGCCAGAGATTTTCCAATAAACACTGGAACGAATCCTTTTAGGTTGCGAAGGAGTCATCAACTTCATAGATGACATCTTAATATTTGGGAAAGACTTATTAGAACACGACTTAAGGCTTAAAAAAGTTTTGGCAGTGTTAGAGGAAAATAACATGATGTTGAGGGAAGACAAATGCATTTACAGAATGAAGAAAGTCCACTTCCTAGGGCATGAACTATCAGAACTGGGAGTCAAACCACTAGACAAGTATATCTTGGCTATAAAGGGATTCAGAGCCCTGACAAATATCGCTGAACTGCAGAGTTTTATGGGTTTAGTGAATTACGTGGGAAAATGGATCCCCCACTTAGCAACGATAACAGAACCCCTTAAGCAACTGCTACGGCAAAGAACGGGAAGAAACACAGTCATTCAAAATGACTGGGGGGGGATGCCCAAAAGAAGGCATTTAACGATCTCAAGGCGGCACTTATGAAGGTACCAAATTTAGGTTACTACAATCCTCATAATAAGACGGTGGTGATTGCAGATGCAAGCCCAGTGGGTCTGGGTGCAGTGTTGGTGCAAATCAACAAGAATGGGCCGAGAATAATTGCATTTGGTAATAAAACCCTCAGCAGCTGTGAGCGTCGTTACTGCCAAACAGAGAAGGAGGCCTTAGCCCTGGTTTGGGCAGTCGAACATTTCAACATGTTCCTGTACGGTAAGATGTTCGATCTAGTAATGGATCATAAGCTCTTGGAGGTGATATTTGGCCCGAAAGCTAAACCATGCGCTCGCATTGAAAGGTGGGTATTAAGGTTGCAATCCTACAATTTCAAGGTGAAATATATTCCGGGGAAGACCATTATAGCCGATCCACTATCGAGACTCTGTGAAGTGGCAACAAACCCGACGACATTACTTGAAGACCATGTTCAAGCGATTACCGAATTGGCACGACCAGAAGCCATTCCATTACAAGAGATCACTGAGAGTTCTCTTGGAGATGCAGAGATACAGAAGGTTAGAGAGGGTCTTTACAACGGAAACTGGGAGGAAACCGTAAAAACCTATAAACTTTTTCAGGATGAATTATGCTTTCATGGCGATATTCTCCTCAGGGGGACGAAAATTGTAATCCCAACCAAGTTACGCAGAAGAGTTTTGGAAGCTGCGCACGAAGGCCACCCGGGGATAGTCGCGATGAAGAGCAGATTGAGGACCAAAGTATGGTGGCCTAAGTGCGACAAAGATGCTGAAAACATATGCAAAGCCTGTAAAGGATGCATCCTGGTCTCTGCTCCCAGCGCCCCGAACCCATTAAAAAGAAGAGATTTACCTTCCGAACCGTGGGTTGACATAGCAATCGACCTCATGGGCCCATTACCTAGTGGAGACTATATCCTGGTAGTCGTGGATTATTATACCAGATATAAAGAAGTGAAAACATGCAGAACCATAACAAGCTCTGAAATAATTGAAATGCTTAAAGAAATTTTTAGCAGACTTGGCAATCCAGTCTCCCTCACATCAGATAATGGTAGACAATTTTCTAGCGAAGACTTTAAGAGCTTCTGCGCAGAGAGGAACATACGACTCTACAATACCATTCCCTATTGGCCGCAAAAAAACGGAGAAGTGGAGCGCCAGAATAGGGACATCCTAAAACGCCTCAAGATCTCTCAAGTAGAGAAAAAGAACTGGAAGGAGGCTCTCCAGGAGTACATGGTGATGTACAATAGTACACCTCACACAGTTACAGGAAAAACACCTGCGGAACTGTTCTTTCGACGGCAATTTCGAGACAAACTGCCTATGCTCCAAGACATGACGCATCTCTCAGAGGATCTTGAAATGAGGGATAGAGATAAAGAACTAAAGGAAAAAGGGAAGGAATATGCGGATAGGAAGAGAGAGGCTACTAACTGTGAATTGGAAGTCGGAGATAAAGTATACGTCAAGAACATGACTAAACAAAACAAGCTGAGCTTAAACTATCAACCCGAAACACATACCGTCGAAGCGAACAAAGGAGGGGACGTAATTCTTCGGAACGATGAAACTGGTCAGCAAATCAGACGGAACGTCGTACATCTAAAACGAGTGGAAGGGCAATGGAAGGTACTAGATGATGAAAATAATGCTAGTGGTACTCAAACTAACGATAATGGTGACGTAAATCAATCACAACTCGAGTGAATAAAATTATGGACGATAATGACAAAATAATTGATGATCAGTGATTGAACATAATTTGAATAAGAACTTGCTGATTGTACTTGATATACTTACTTATGTAAAAAGAAAAAAAAAATCATTAAACTACTATAAGAATAGGTAATTATGAATGTATTTTATTTGTAAGTTAAGCTGATCACAGTTCCTTAACTCGATATGGTTATTTATATTTGTATATATATTTATATTAAAACAAAACATTAATAAGGGAGGGATGTAGCGTATAGACATTTATAGTGGTGTATAACTCTGTCGTCTCGAGAAGCGCACGCGCGGGATCGCGGGGCGGGGCGGCACTGCCCGACCGACCGCCGCAGGGAGAAGACGTGGACGCTTACTACGAGCCGATATCAGTGTATAATAATAGTGTTACTTGTAATATATACTACTTACAATAGTGTTACTTGTTCTTTCTAAATATTGATCCCTGGGATCTACAGTACATTACAACATTTATTGATTAGAAACACTTTTAATTGTCTCATAAAAATATTATCATTTGTTTCGTTTTTTAATGAGTTTGGTAGTTTATTATAGACAGTTATGGACATTGCGTAAGGGCCTGATGAGAAGAGCTTCATTAACAGAATATAGAAATAATAGTTTTTACACTTAGAATTTCTATTTGTTTGCTATATTATGTGGGTGGTGTACTTATTTAATCATGTAATAGGAAATAAAAGTCTTTACAGTTTGGCGAAGTTATATAAAAAAGACATTTTTATGGTGGTTCCGTATTTCATGAAAAATATTGATTTTCTGGTACATTTGTTTCAGAAGAATGTAATTGTAACGGCACATTATTATTAATAATAAATAATAATTAAATTCAAGAGTGTGTTTGGTAGTACTTTTAAGTGCAGCAAGCATACCCAACTTCATTTATGTCTTAATGGAATAACTCTATGATACGTGGATTTTTGACTACTGTCGTCTTAGTAGCGTGCTAATATGATACGATGGTGCTATTTTTAGTTAACAACAGTACCAATTTTGTTGCGTTAAGTCGATAGGGATCATGTGGGTGTGTTGTGAAGAGGCGCCATCTGTATGATAGTTGCATTCATGTTTACTGCTCTTGCGGTATGCTATCAGTTGTATTGATGCTAGTTGCGTTCTGCAGCATTGCGTCTCTGCGATGATTGTTTGGCGGATCGCTATTCTCAATGGCGCTCTCTGCGTCTTTGTTTGACTCACGTCTAAGTAGCTTTGCCCAAGGCTGGTCCCTTCATGACGGGGCTGCAGATTGTCTGACCTCCATGGTGTTTTATATAAAAACATAATAAATTATCTCTGTAAATTTAATTGATTAAAGGCAACTTGTTGTTGAGTGAGACAAGTCGATCGAAAAATGCGTATATTCAACGTCAGTGACACAAGCTCTTTTTGATGGGAAATTATAACTATTATCACAGTCTATAAATCCATACAGTCGTCCGACGAAGACATCCAGACAGGGCAATCGTGAGGGGTGTGAGGGGCAGCCCGAGCTGCTCATGCCAATCGTATTAGTAGCTCGGGATACGACTTCCAGGGTTAACGCACGTTTGCTTTTATAATTTTTAATTTCGTGTTGATACTTATAATTAAAATGGTTCATACGACGTGTGCTGTGAGAGATTGCAAGTCGTCATATCGCATAAATAAATATCTGCGATTTCACCGAATTCCGCAGACTGAAGAAAGGTAAATAAATATTGTTATTATTTTTTACATTATGTATATTTTGTCATGTCATGCCAAATTACCAACGTAAAGTAATAGCGGACGTAAAAAATAGGTACTAGTCGCTGGGCATTACTGTTTCGAAGTTTGATTTTTTTAAATTTAAATCGTGTGGATGGACAGGCTAAGGTTTTAGACCATACTATAGTGCCTCGTCTTCGGTCTTTCAAAGTTTTTTTATAAATTATTAAGATTTAGGAGTCAATTTTTAGGTTTGTCGGGGTGCTAATTACGAAAAAAAGCATTTATTTTTAAATTCAAGATGGCTGTCATTTTCTAATATATGTATGATATGGATGTCAATTTAAGGGTTTATTGAGGTGATGATTACGAAAATAGCATTCATTTTCATATCCAAGATGGCGGACATTTTTTAATAATATGATATGGGTATCAATTTCGAGGTTTCTTGGGGTGCCAATTACGAAAACGGCATCAATTTTCATATCCAAGATGGTGTTTTTTTTTTTAAATAATACAATATGGACGTAAATTTTAAGGTTTCTGGGGGTGATAATTATGAAAATTTATTAATAAGTATTGTTTTAAAAATTTCAGATGCAAATTATGGATGGAAGTTATTGGAAGACCTGATTTAGTTGGAAGAACTTTCGAAAGCTTAAAGATCAACTATAAAATAAACTAATAATTCAATGTCTGTAGTCATTGTAACGATAATAATAATATGCATTTGATGTCTAGCTAAGAGTATAAGAACAATATTATGTAGCGAAATTGAGGTATGGCCACATATCGAGAGTAGAGCACTCACTCACGTTGTGAGGCGTGCAATTAACGTTTTGAACTTTTAGTAAAACTTTAAGAACAAATTGTTACTTATTTTTTATATTAGTAATCATATTGTTGACGAAAATGTAGATCTAAAATAAATAATTAAATGAGTAAAAGTTGTTAATTTGTGACAACCCTAACCTCCGTACGCTGTCTAGACGTTGTCGGCATTTACCACGGATCAAAGGCGTCGTCCTACTGTATGTTTATTATACTGTGCTATTATCTTATAACTACGTTTAGGCTATATCTGTCGTTGTTTTTGTTGGTGGAGCATATGTGTCGACCTCATGCGAGTGGTAGCTGGAGGAAAGAGACTCTCAAGGCTGCAGCCGAAAGTCGCTGAACGTGGAACACCATTCCTTTGAGGTAAACAGTAGACTCACGACACGCTCCGCGGCTAGTAGCCGTGCTGATCATGCAATTGGTGATGATGCCTTACACTTAAATAACGTCTGCAGGAGCAGCGGTCTCACATGTGGTGGCGCTCACGGAGGGCTTTCTATGGCCATCGTGTTCATTATTCGACGTGTTGCCTAAGCCGTGAGACGTACATTCACTGTGGCTGGATTTTATCGTATTCTGTATGGCGTTTACACGCATTGACATGCGCGACTTCGATCGATGTTTGTGCTACCAAGGGTCCAAGCTCTCTTTTACTGGTTCGCCACTGTGGACTACGGTCCAGTTCTCAACCTAACCTCCCTCTTCCAGGGAAGCGCCGCCATGTGCCGCCCCCACATTTTTTTTAAATGTGGGAGAGCGAAGCCCTTGTATCTGATATTTTATATAAATATTGTGAGTATTTTCCAAGCGGAAAGGGATTATCATTTCATCATTATCATTACAGGCCTTCGCAAATCCACTGCTGATCACAGGCCTCCCCCAAGGAATACCACAAAGCACGGTCCTGAGCCACCTGCATCCATCGACTTCCTGCATGTCCTACTAGATCGTCACTCCATCTAGTAGGGAGATGCCCTACACTCCGCCTGCTGGTACGAGGCTGCCACTCGAGAACATTTATTCTCCATCGGTTGTCGGTTCTTCGAGCTATATGGACAGTCCATTGCCACTTCAGTATACTAATTCTTTAGACTATGTCGGTTACTCTAGTTCTACTGCGGATATCCTCGTTTTTAAGTCTATTACACATACAAACGCCGAGCATAGTCTTCTTCATAGCTCGTTGAACGACTTTGAGCTTCCTCATATGGCCAGCATTGAAGGACCACGTCTTAGATCCATAGATTATCACTGGCAACACGCACTAGTTTTACAATCTAGTTTTGACGTTTTGAGGTATGTCCAACGAGAATATGTGTCGTGATCTCCCGAACGCTGCCCAGCCGAGTTGAATCCGTCGATTGACCTCACGGTCGAAGTTGGACTTACCTAGTCGAACTATTTGTTCCAGGTAAACATATTCATCAACAACTTTGTAATGATCCCAACATCTACCGGCATAGGTGTGACATAGACGTTAACATGATTTTTTTTTGTAAATGTTCATCCTAAGACGTATTGGTTTTTAAAAAAAAAAACGTTACCCCCATACTAGGATGTTCTCCTGTGTCGTGGAGGCAGTTTACAAACATAAATTACACAAGGACAAACATATTAGTACTTATATAGATACTTGTTCCGTGCGGGATTCGAATCCGCGGCCCCCAGCGCAACAACTGATTGCTAAGCCACTGCGCCACGGAGCCGTCAAAGCCGTTATCTGTTGAGAGATTCTATTGAGGTCAATCAGCATAGTGCTTCGGTCCTCCAGCAATTCTGCCATAAAGACTATATCATCGGCAAATCGAAGGTGAGTGATGTACTCGCCATTCATGTTAATAATGTATTTTTTCCAGTCCAGTATTTTTAATACGTATTCCAATGCAGCGGTGAAGAGTTTCGGGGATATAACGTCACCCTGTCTTACACCTCTCTGCAGTTGGATAGGTTTCGTACTCTAGTTCTGCACTCGGATAGCCATCGTAGCCCTACTCTACAAACACTTCAGCACTTCGATATACCGACAGTCCACTTTTCAGCATTGGAGGGACTGCAGCACCGCCGAAATTTCGACGATATCAAAGGCTTTCTCATAGTTCACATACGCAAGGCAAAGTGGCAGATTGTACTCTTCGGTCTTGTGTACAATTTACGGAAGGGTATATATGTGCCTTTTGAAAACTGGCTTGTACGGGAGGCTGGAAGTCGTTGAGTCTTCATGCAAAACGATTCATAATGATTCTTGAAAACAGTACGTTGACACAGATCAGAAGGAAAATTGATCTGTAGTTCTTCAAGAGAGCGTTGTCGCCTTTCTTGAAGAAAAAGACGACCGCAATTCTGCTCCACGCTTCCGGATTAGTGCCTCCATAAAGGACGGAATCAAAGAGCTTCTAAAGGACTTTAAGTGCCGGTTTTACACCCGCTTTCAAAATCAC